TAGTGGAGCATTTAGCAGCTAAAGAGCCAGATATTTCCCTCAGGAGCTGGTGGAGACCAAACACAGAGTTAACAGAGAGAGAATACTGGACCCACCTTCATTTCAATTGGCACCTGTACAGAGCTGAATTCCAGGATGTGTCCACCTGTGTTAAACTTGACCTGCAAATTGTTACGGTCGGCCACTAAAAACAGCAGCTACCAGACCACATAGACTGTTATCACTTTGATCTATACTTTTTTATTTTGTTTTTTTAGGTCAAAGTGCAGGGCAATCTTTTGGGATGGGAGGACCTTGTGACCCTACCTTGGGCGCATGCTTGTTGTTATTTTACAAGCATTTCATAAAGTGATTAACGGAGAAGTAGCAGCAGAATAAAAACAAACAGCAAAGAGAAATGTTTAAAGGGTAACTTCAGTATCTTTCAACCTGGACGTTCAGCCTGGATGTTTAGTGTTGGGACAACATTTTTTAAAATTAGTCCAGTACTGAGCTAACATTCTTCAGTCAGAAGCAATGTAATCTTTGCGGACAATTGCGCCCCACCATAGTACATCCACTAAAGTGCTTATTTTTGCCACTGACAACATTATGAAGACGATCCCTACAGATATAAACCTTTTCAAGGGTTCTTTGGATATAGTGTAACAATTCTCTGGTCTGTTCAGTCTCACTGTCCTTGGGTGCCTTTCAGATTTGGTCCCTTTTTTCTATTCATGCACATTTGGTTCCAGTAGGTTTTCCAGTAGTGTGTTTTAAATTTTGAAGACCAATACCTTGTAATGTCCTGATCCTCCATGAGATACATCAGAATTACAGCAAGTGATGGGTGGGTCGGGACCATACACACACATAATAGATTCTATTGAAACAGAAAACTGAAAGTCATTCATACAAAGAATGCCCCATAGTGTTTTGGTCCTGAATCTTAGTTTAAATTAGTATTTTGTGTGGCTGTTTGACCAGGTTAGGATTTAGGCTTTTGTTATTGCAGAGATTAAGAGGCCGAGAGTCTTGGTGAAGGAATGGTTTATTGTATAACTATAACTGATTATGAATACTAATAATAATAATGGAACTGTTGACACATGAGAGCGACAGTGCTGATAATAGCTCCTGATCAATCATATGATCAGAAGAACTCAATCAATATAGCAGCCCTCTGGTGGACTGTAATCCCTTTAGCTATGTTCTGACAGGCTCCAAACATTCCTGTCATGCACAACGTCCTCTGAGTTTCATGCTCACAAACAGTGCCACACCGTATTGACACGCAGCAGTAAAAATGTCCACTTGAGATTGCTTCTTTGATAATGTCGGATGAATGTGATGATTGTGATGTCCTTGCTGCAAGCAAAGCAGTGCGGCTTGTGCAGGAAATGTCACCACATGTTCATGTAAGGACAAGTCAGCGTTCCCCGCTTCTTATGCCGTTTTTCCATTACCAGTACCAGCTCGCCTCGCTCCGTTTTCCATTGCAGATAGTACCCAGAGATTGCACCCCTCAATCTAGCTGGTCATCATAGCGACACCACACACAACTGCCGCGACGTAATATTCAATGCGACACACATACGAGGAACGCACACACAGCTGTCTCTTGATTTAAGTTAAAACGTTTCAACATTACTCAGAATGTAAAGACAGATAAGATGGAGGTGATATGAAAAAAGTACCTGGAAGCAGGTACTAGTACAACTTTTACACAATGGAAAACCAAAAGAAGGCGAGTAGAGTCGAGGCGAGTCAAGCTGGTACTTGCAGTGGAAAAGGGGCTTTACTGTCTCTCTCTCCCTGTATGTCCGCTTCGGTGACTTTCTCCCTCAGTAGTTGGCTAGGCTGTATAAAGTCACCGAAAAAAGAGAACTTGTCTGCTGGACTTTTCCTCCGGTGATTCCCTTCACAGCAGCAGCTGAGCTGCATGTTGAGGAGGCGTGTTGACGACATAGCCTATCAAAACAAAACCAACGTGGTAGCTAAGGAATAACATTTGACTGGTGTGTTCACTGTCGCTTTACCTGGGCCGCTCTTGCAAAATGTGTCACGACTTGTAACGTAATCACCCTGTTTCTCTGAGAAATGCTACAGTGTGTCCCCTAATCTGGGCGGCCCGCCGAAGTAAAGTGTATGTGTGGGAAACACTGAATGAACAGTGCTTTTCTTTTTACAAGCCAGGTCTTTAACAGTGTCGACCAGCACTGTGTCTCCCTCCGTCTTGTCAGAGACTTTGTGAGTAGACGGCTGTGTACAGACACAGAGGGAGGGGCGGGGCTGCGCGTTAAGGCAGAGAGAGGAGCAAACGCTGGCAGGACTTTATGGAAACATATTAATTAACTAAACATCAAACTACATCAGTATAAACGGTATAGTCTAATTTCATATCTCTTGAAATTATATCCCTAATAGTAGTACCTTTACTGTCTGTACCTCTGTGTGGATATTGTGTAGGCTGCCTCCCTCACCTCTCTCTCTCCTTCCATCCCTCTCTCTCTTTCTCTCTGATCCTCTCTTGCCCTTTCTCTCTCTCTCTCTCTCACCCCCAACCGGTCGAGGTTTCACAAGTTTTTCCTTGCCTCTGTCGCCTAGTGCTTGCTCTTGGTGGGAATTGTTGGGTTTCTGTAAATATCATCACAGAGTACGGTCTAGACCTGCTCTTTTATGAAAAGTGCTCTGAGATAACTGTTGTGATTTGACGCTATATAAAGAAAATTGAATTGAACTGAACTGAAAATGTGAGAACAGAGACAAACAAAGGGGTTAGATGGGTTTAAATATGAAAGTGCAGGTGATTGGATTATGGAGGCACAGGTGGATGAAATGAGTGAGCACAGGTGGTTGGATTAGTGAGTGAGAGAGAGAGGCATGATCTTGTTTCTGAACCTCAGTTAGAGGTGCAGACAGACCCTTCTCCTCTTCTTATTCTTCTTCTTTTCCTGTGACCATGATCATATTAAAAAAGTAACTAATATTGATTATAGCTTTATCTTAACAACACCAGTCAGTCAGTCTTGGGATTGGCTAGTCATTGAAATAATGCAGTTACTGCCAAACTGACCATGGGCTGGTCTTTATAATGACTACTGAGCATAAAACAAAAAGAAATTCATTCTCTAGAGAAACAGCCATGTCTTCAGTGTTTGCAGCTGATTCATTAGTCAGTGGCAGCAGGTTGTGTTAACAGAATGAAGTGGAGACTGAACTTCCTGTGTATTTTCACTGCAACATCCTCCCACTAATAAAGCCAACAAGAAAGTTTACCTTAATTTAACACTATTACAAAATCCTTGTGCAAGAAATGAATCATTTGGCACGAAATACTTCTGACGGCATGCTGGCAATGAAATCACCACTTTACATTCCAGCTATAGTCAAACAAACAAGCCCCAACACACACACACACACACACACACTCCTGTGTCCAGGTGGAGTGTGTATATGTGTGTTTGATGGTAACAGTAACATGCCCAGGCCTGCAGCTCAGCCAATCTGACCGCCAACCTTTCAGAAACAGTTCTCAACACGTTCAGCCAGCCCACCACATCTAGCTTACCTGGCCTGACTCCTCACCACACACACACACACACACACATACACACACATTGTTCAGTCCTCAGCAGGGCGGTGGATCACACACATAGCATTAAAGCTTTCAACTTTAAAAGCTGATTTAAAGGAGCCTTTCAAGCTGAGAGGTTCAGCTAATCTTTATGTGGGCGGGTTCCTGTGAGTGATGTGTGGAGGAAGGCGGCAAGGTAGGTAAACAAAGGAAGTTTAGGTAGGAGAGGTGAAGCGAGTCTGAGGTGTGGTGTAACAGGCCGGCAGCTGAAGTTTGGTCTCAAGCTTATATGTCTTTTTCTTCGCATTTAAAACCTGTTATTACAGAGTTACATGTCAGTGTCATGTTTCTTTCCTTCTCTTCCTCTGTCGACAACCAAATATAGCTGCATCACTAATGCAATCTAAGGTCAAGAGAAGTTTGAGCGATTTGTCATAGCAGCAAAAACACAGGTCTTACTAATAACATTAAAGACGACAGTGTGACAGCATGCACAATACCAGGACCCTGAAAATGGAGCAGCTATGGAATTCACCCTCAGTAATCTCATTATTTACTCCTGTGCCTTTGTTACTGTGAAATGGGAAAATGTTTTCCGTGAAAACAGCCGACTGTGTGCAACGCAACCCAAGGAAGACAAGCGTGCCGATAAGCTTTGCTGAGTTTTTATAGTGTGTTAGCTGTTTGCAACTTCCTTATTATAAGCAAAGTTTGTGGGCTGACATTGGCGACACAATACTTTTACAGAAACAGGGTCCTTCAATGACACATGAAGTAGGTTGCATCTTATAGGCACATACTGTATTTACTGTATGTAGTCTATTGTCTTCCAGTATTGTATACTGTATCATAGACTTAATAATATAATATTTAAAGGTCTTCGTATGAACTTTATGCCTCTATTATCAAGCTGACAATAGAGAGGAGACAGGTACTGAGGGCAGAGAGAGATGGGAAATGTAACATGGTCCTAGACCAGACTTGAAACAGCTGTGTTGCAGTTCCTACTCATTGCTTTATCCCCCAGGGCCACGGGGGCCTCCACCTTATTTAACTGAAGAGGATTTGTCTGCAGTCGTGTCTGTGTGACCTGCATTAGTCTACATTTAAAAGGTCTTCATTCACACAGACATTGTGTGTGTAGGAGACGTGTAGTGGTTCTCTTTCTTTTTTGCCTTACTGTATTTGGTTTTTGTCAAATAGCAACAGGCACCACTGAGAGAGCTCAGTGTTGAGCTGCTTTAAGCTGCAGTTTCTCTGATGGCCACTAGATGTCGGCTCCATGCAAACTTAACTGTACTGAAATCCATTCATAGAGTCCTAACATCTGTACAGTGATGGGGTTAATCTCAAGGATTAAGGATAGGCTGTAGTCCTAATCTCTTATGTGTTGTACTAATAATGTTTCTCTCACCTAACATACCCTCCCCGTGTATCTCTGTAGGTGACTGCAGCAGCTTGGCCCACCTGTGACTATGGTTTGTACCGCGAGGAACATAAGTTTTTCGAGTGATGGCCTCCAACAGACGTCCTCCATCATAATTTGCTCTTCAGAGGACTAGGAGTCCTTTTGGCTCCTGCAGCTTCTCAGCGCTGATAAATCTTGTCATTGGAGGATCAAGCATCATCAAAGACTTCCCTCAATCAGTTTTAAATATTTGATTGTAGTTTTTAGATCTGTTTCTTAGCAAATATTAGACTTGGGATTGGTCTGACAGCTTCAGATAGACAGCAATCTGGACTGGCCCATTCCTCAAACTTCCATTTGAGGATCCTCTCAGACACACTGTTTGAGGTGTGAGGTCAGCAACCACACCTAGCTAATCTGATAACACTGTGTTATCCCCGGACTCGTCCATCATCCATCAGCAGTCATGGAGTCTGTGGCAGCTAGAATGGCCATGGTGACCGACTCCCCCAACCCATCGCTGAGGTCAAGGACTACTGTGACGACAGATCGCAATTCGTTTGTGAGCTCAGCCAGCCTTCCCTGCAGCCACTTCCTGTCAGTCAACGTCATCAATGTTGGTAAGTGTTTGCCTCTGTGACCTATGTGGTGATAAGTGCTTGTTACGTTAATGAAGAATGACAGTGTTGCCAGTGTAAATGTGTTAGGTCTCATGTTGAGTTGTCTCTGATGTTTGCTGTCTTGTGGCGTGTAGTCCTGTTTAACTTCATGCAAATTGTTGGTTTGCTGAAAACAATGATCACTTTTGACTGACCTTTATTTCAATAAGTTGAGAGTGAATGAAGAAAGACTTGATGATCTAATTGATTACCACTATACACACTTTGGCAAATTCATGTCTCAAATCTGAAGGAAAACACAAATCACAGTTTGACATCACTGCCTGGAGTAAGATGGAGATGTTATAAAGGTCATGTAAGATGCAGGACGAGCTAATTCTGTTTAAGAAAGGTGGACAGGTTAGTGATTGGGTCAAAACCACTTCTTAATTCTTGGGTGGATTGGAGGACTGTTTGATATACAACAATTCAGAAAGTACTTATCTGTGAGAGTTTGCTGCTGTCAGTTTATATGACTGATGTAATATCGTGTGCTTTGCCATTTCACTTTGGTCAATCTGCTGTCAACATGTACAGTGCAAAGTAAACCCAGCTGCTGCCAGGACATAGTTACACATTATGGGAATAATGTGTAAAACCTGTTGGAAACATTCTCAGAAACTTGTTCCGTAGCAGTGGAAGTGTCTTTGTTGCTTCACCCAACACACAATTTCACTGTAACAAACCTCAAAGCTTTTTTGAAAGTGATTTACTGTCTGTCTGTGTGAAGCCAAGCAGACACAATCACAGAGAAAACATCCTGAACATGTAATATACATGTTTAATTTGAATATTAACATCTAACACATTTGTTCTCTGATGCAGTCAGAGTGAATTATCCTGTGTCTGATGATGTTGTACTGTTGTTTGTGTTCAAACTGGTTGGCTCTGCAAGCAAGAAAAAAAGAAATCAAATAGTATGGTCAAAAAATAGTATGGGGATGACAGACTCTGGAATGTGTTTAGTGAAGCTTAATATAGAAAAGGGCACACACTGGACTTTTCTGATTTAATTGTAAAGCCTTCAGGTAAAGCAATTGGTTCTGCTGCTCCATCCCACTTGGTCAGTCAGAACCAAAACAGCTGGAGTGCATGAATTCTGTAATGTATGATCTTGCTAAAACATACACACACACTGTAGGCTTTGACACTGCATTTAATGACACTGGACTAAAGACATGTCTTCATGAGGCCCGGTCACACAGACATTAAAGCAGTGCTGTGTTGCTGTGGAAGGAATCTGTGGATCCTCTCCTGGGGGTGGAGGAAAGCTGAGCTGGTCAACTCTGATACAACAATTTGCACCACTGACCAATGAGAAACAGTCTTGACAGTGCTGACCTTTTTTAAAAAGAAGAATGTGCATAAACTGCAGAAATCAGGAGCTCACAACCAACAATTAGCAAGCCAATTACTTTGGAGAGCTACGAGTAGTCACCATGTTATCAATCCTTCACCAACAACTCCTGTTCTGTAGGTGCACACTGTGCCTCTCTATGCTGTGTCCACTATATTTATCATCATCTTTTAAAGCAAACTTGCGTAACACACGCGATTCACATGTGCTTTTATTTTGAAACTGCTCACTTTCTGTTAATGTTTGTTTATAGCAAAATTTATGCATTGCAATTTAATCAAGCAAACATATATTTTCATGTCAGAGCTGAATACTGCATAAATAATGAAATTATTGCAAAGGTCAAGGGGGAAGTAGCAGCGGCTGTGTTTCTGAACAGGCTGATTTTAATGCTCTGCAGACCCCGAGAGAGCTGCTGGAGTGGCTTGGCTTTATTTGTCTGCATGGCTGAAAAGGACACAAATGTCATTCAGAGCGTTTGAAGCTGCAGGCTCCAACTCCTTAAACTTTTACAATCACACTTTAACTTGTAGCTTTGGGATGAAGACACATATATATCAGTAACATACCACACACACTCTCACAAAATATAACTAAACTTCCAGCTACCAAAGAGCATCGACAACAGCATCTCCAGCAGAGCTTAGATGGTATCTAATGGACACAAATAACGAAGAAGTCGGGGGTCCACTGGTCCAAAGTTCTGACTTTCAACACCTGCAGAGTAAGGATCATACCATAAGTAATTTGTCATTTTGTGTTTTCTCAATCCCAGTTTGTAAATTCTTCTGTTATTCTTCAGTTATGGTAAGTCTCCAGGCATACCTAAACCACTAAATACATTGAATGTCAAGTCTCCCAGAACAACATATTTGACTATTCCATAAAATGACATATACGAGCGTTGGCAAGTACCGGACCAGAAACAGAACAGCAACAGGAAACAGAATAAATGAACAGAGACGGGAAGCAAGACACTCCAAGACACAAGAGGAAGGGCTTACTGAAAACAACATCAAACTCTCAAAATACCAAGAACCCCAAGACTGTAACACTTTATACTACGTCACCTGACTTCTTCTGCCACTCACTACAGGTTGCGGTCTAAAAAACCTAAAAATGGGTCAAAATAGGCTGCTGCATAATCGACCTGTACGGCCATTTCTCTGTTGAAGATGGGCTGGCCAGCTTGCTTGACAGCTCAACCACAGAAGACTGACAGGGCCAGTTTGCTTACTGTACAATCCAGATAGTCGACTGTGCACTACATGCAGCGTGAGAAAGAAAAGCAGCTCTGCAGAGGCAGTCAATAGCTAAACCATAACTAATTTTAACAGCTAAACGTGCTTATTTAATCAAATGTATGCATCATGTGCTAGAATTCAGGAAGTCAAATGTTGCAAATGTTAATTTTCCAGGTAGCATTCAGCTGAAGTGATTAAGGTATTTGCTGACCTCTTTCCTGCTGGAAAAATTTGTGTTTTGATCATAAAGACAATTTAAGCGCTGTCGAACTCCGCTTTTAACCCTCCAGTAGCTGATACAGTACGGTAGGCCGCAGGTCCTAAACAAGCTCAGAAACATGAAGCAACCAGCGAGCACTTCCAAGCAGATGGAGGGTGTGAATGGATGTAGGGGAGGCTGTAGGTGTTTGAAGTAGGCTAGAAAACAGTTGCTGTGTTTACCCAAAGCCAAAATCCTCCAATTTAGTCTCAGCTGCAGACTGATGCTGCCTTCAGGCTCAATTAGAAACCATCTGCTGCGTCCCGGGTGGATGGAGGACTGTCAGTCTAAGTGTTGTATCTGTCTGTCTGTGTGTGAGGGTACTACTGACAGCTAAAGTACTGCAGTAAATAAGTGAGTAATTATAATAATGTTGATGCTGTGTATTGATTCACCAAGATGAAAACAAACAGGACAGGCTACGTTGTGTGTGAGGGAAGTCATTCCAATTAAAAATGAAATTAAGCAGCATTTAGAATCATTACTTTCACATTCACTACACATTCCTGCCTTAATATGAGCTATGCAAAGGCAAATGTCTGGTTAAAGGATAAATACAGTATATCACAACTATAACTTAGGTAGGTAAGTAGGTAGGTTTATTGTCACAATATAACAAGTTATAGAGTGAAATTTAGTTTTGTAACTCCCTTCTGCTACATAGCAGACAATTTACATTAATACAGAATCAATTATAAAGAGCCCTCCGGTCCTCGGCTGTGCAAATCCATTGTTAGTGATGTTTCCAGTCAGGATGCTTTCTATTGCTTCTCTGTAATAGCTGACTTGGGGTGGGAATGTGGGAAATACAGTCGTTTCTGAGCTTTCTTCACCAGCATGGAGATGTGAGATGACCATGTCAGGTTCTCTGTGATGCTGATTCCCAGGAACCTGAAACTGTCCACCTGCTCCACCTCAGCTCTACTGATGTAGACAGGAGTGTGTGTCTTTATCTCCTTCTTCCTAAAATCAATGATCAGCTCCTTAGTTTTGCTGACGTTGAGCAGTTGGTTGTTCTCTGAGCACCACTCTACAAGATTTTGAATTTCCTCCCGATATGAAGTCTCATCATTTGAAATCCGGCCGATGATAGTGGTGTCATCCGCAAACTTTACAACAGAGTTCTCTCCATGTTGGTTGATGCAGTCGTGGGTGTACAGCGTGAACAGGAGCACCCAGCCCTGGGGTGCCGAACTGACTGGGGTCTGTTTGTGAGGAAGTCCAATATCCAGTTGCAGAGTGTTGTATTTAAACCCAGAGTGCTGAGTTTGCTGATCAGTTTCATGGGGAGATTGAGTTGAATGCTGAGCTGAAATCCACAAACAGCATTCTGATGTAGGTGTTTTTTTTCTCAAGGTGTGTGAGGGCTGAATGGAGGGCAGTGGAAATGGCATCCTCTGTGGACCTGTTGGTTCTGAAAGCAAACTGGTGAGGGTCCAGGCTGGCTGGGATATTGTTCTTTATGTGCTGAAGAAAGCACTTCATCAGAATGGATGTGATAGCCACAGGGTGGTTGTCATTCAGACTAGACACTGCAGACATTTTAGGTACAGGAACGATGGCGGCTGTCTTCAAGCAGGTGGGAACCCTCTCCTCAGACAGTGAGATGTTGAAAATGTCGGTAATAACATCAACTAACTGATTGGCATAGGTTTTTAGCACACGACCAGGAATTGTATCGGGCCCACCTTATTTACTCATATTCACTCTCAGCAGGACTCTCCTCACATCTGCTGTGGATGCTGACAGTGGCTGGAGGTGGAATAGACTTTACAGCTGACTCCTTTTTGAGGAGATCAAAACGAGCATAAAAGATTTGAAGTTCATCTGGTAATGTGGCCTCACACATAATGGGGGAGCTCCTGCTTTTGTAGACTGTGATGTTTTTTGATAGCCTGACACATCTTTGGTGTTGTTGGTGTTGAGGTCTCTCTCCAGTCTCTGCTGATGTCCCCACTTTGCCTCCTTGATGCCAGCTTTCAGTCTCACTCTGGCGATGCTGTAAGCTTCTTCATCACCCAACCGAAAAGCAGCTTTTTTGGCTCTGGATAGAGTCCTCACCTCTCCATTCATCCAGCCCTTCTGATTGGAGAATGATTTT